ACCCTACAGAATAGCTGGAAGATGCCTAAGGGGCACTAATTTCCAATAATTAATGCTATGGGGGTCTCAAAGTATCAGGTTTTGGGTTTTGCAAATATATACCTGTTTATAGCACTCGATGGTGGAGTCTGGGCCACACACAGATACACAAAAATAAAATCACCATTCCTATGGAACTTTTTTTTTTTTTTTTTTTTTTTTTTGACACAGAGTCGTGCTCTGTCACCCAGGCTGGAGGGCAGTGGCATGATCTCTGCTCACTGCAACCTCCACCTCCCAGGTTCAAGTGATTCACCTTCCTCAGCCTCCCAAAGTGCTGGGATTACAGGCATGAGCCACCTCGCCCAGCCAAATTGTTTGTTTGTTTTTTTAAGTCTGAGTTACTTTCTTTCTGTTCAGAGCCCTTTATGATGAAGGCTCCACATAATGGAGAGCAGAGTTCGCTCTTTAACCTCTTTTTCCTTTATACAACAAAATGGTCACAAGCTTTAGGGTAATCAGATTCCTAAAGGCATATAGTGTGTGACCTAATTTCTGCTTTCCCCTTTTGTTCATCAGAGATTTGGGTACTTTATCAATAACTTTGAATCTTAAGAGTAGAGGAGGAGATTTTTAGTATCCAAAGTCCACTACTCTTTGGTTTATCCAGAACACTGATATAAGGTCTTGCTTCCAAAGAGTCATAGATAGGTAGGTAGACAGAGGGATAGGCCAAGATTGTGTTTTGTGTAAGGTAATTACTAGAGCAGACTGTTTTTGTTTTTGTTTTTTTTTCCAGGGATCTCGGTACAGCATTTTTTCTCAAGAAAGGCAACTTTGGCAAGTTAGCACAATGTTGAGCTAAGTAGGTGTTTGTTAAAAAATCGACCTATTTTGATGTTATATTATCATAGCCTATGATCCTGTTGGTCAATGTGAGCAGGCTAGATTTTATTTTTGAACTTTTGTACTTCAGGGTCACAATTAGTATACGTTATGCGTTAATATGTGTCTCTCACTTCGTATATACATCGACTTTGAGAATATGTTCCTAAACAAAATTTTAAATATATAAAATGTTATTTTTGTTTTGTTTTGTTTGAGATGGAGTTTCACTCTTGTTGCCCAGGCTGGAGTGCAGTGGTATGATCTCTGCTCACTTCCACTTCCACCTCCCGGGTTCAAGCAATTCTCCTGCCTCAGCTTCCTGAGTAGCTGAGATTACAGGCACACATCACCATGCCTGGCTAATTTTTGTATTTTTAGTAGAGATGGGATCTCACCATGTTTGTCAGGCTGGTCTTGAACTCTTAACCTCAAATGATCCACCTGCCTCAGCCTCTCAAAGTGCTGGGATTACAGGCATGAGCCACTGCACTGGCCTAAAATGTTTTATTTTAAAAATAAAAGTATGGCAAATCTTTTTATTTTGTCATAGTAACATCTTATTGGGATAAGAAACCCTGACTCAGATTTCAAAATTGTAATAATGAGGAAGCTAAGAATTCAGAAATCTTGAGTTGCAAAATGAGTCCCTTGCACCACAAATGATTTCTAGTCAGTAGATCACTGGCTGCTGCCAAGTGACTACCAGACTCATAGATTGTTAGGCCTATTAAGCTACTTTGATTAATTCTAATCAAACTCCTGATTTTACAGGTCCAGAGATATTAAAAACCTGCCTGAAGTTATACAGTTAATTATGAGTGATGCCAGGACCAGATCCCTGGGTTCCCTGTTGTTCTGTGTTCAGCATTCTTGCCTCTTTACCTGGTTGAGCAGGCCAGAGAATTGAAGAATGCCAGAGAGTTGAAGAACACCAGTTCTTTTAAGCAGGAAATAAGAAAAAGGGAAAGGAAAGTTTTTCCTTTTTTCAAAGATTGGTTGCTAGATCAGCTTGTTTGAATGAAGGCAGAAATCTAAGAGCAGTGACAAAGACTGATTTCATCACTACCTCTGTTTGTTTTCTTATGTTATTATGTATTTTTTTGAGTTGGGGTTGGAGTCTCACTCTAATGCCCAGGCTGGAGTGCAGTGGTGCAATCATGGCTTGTTGCATTCTCAAACTTACGGGCTCAAGGGATTTTCCCACCTCAGCCTCTTGAGTTGCTAGGACTATAGGCATGCGCCACCATGCCTGCCTCTTATGTTACTACTTTTAAACAACTTTTGCCATCATTTCCAGATGGGTAACAATGGATATCAAATACTGAAATGATTCCCTGCAGTTATTTTAATCCTATTCATCATTAAAATATGAGCAGTGACATCCTGGATTCTAAGATGTCTAAACAAAATAATAACAAAATAGTTATTTACAGTGCCTAAAAAATAAGGCCTCATAAATATATATAAATATATGTATTTATATTTGAGACAGAGTCTCACTCTGTCACCCAGGCTGGAGTGTAGTGGTGTGATCACAGCTAACTGCAGTCTCGACCTCCCAGGCACAAGTGACCACCCACCTCAGCCTCTTCAAGTAACTGGGACCACAGGTGGGTGCCGCTGCACCCAGCTAATTTTTGTATTTTTTTGTAGAGGAGTTTTGCGGTGTTGCCCAGGCTGGTCTTGAACTCCTGGGCTCAAGTCATCCACCCGCCTCAGCCTCCCAAAGTGCTGGGATTACAGGTGTGAGCCACTGCATTTGGCCAAGGACTCTTATATTTAGTGAGATGGCTGGTTAAATCATCTTCATGGAGTTATTTCTGTATTGTGAGGTTGAGGGTGGGGTAGAAAATAGGGCCCATTAAAGTTTCTTATTAACGACATAAAATGTTGCAGAGTTGTAGTAAGAAAGAGTGATGATGATGAGAGCCAGCCGTCTGTTATCTTACTGCCTTAAGACACCAAGAAACCTGCCCTGGAAATGCTGAATTTTAATAAACTCATAAAATGAACTTTAATTGGAAATCTTTTCCATGTAGTTGATAGTATTCTTTGCAAGAATTTTGTTGAAGTGAATTCGTTTTGATACCATTATATCAGATCATTCTTAACAAATATTTAAGTGTCTAATGTATGTAAGACTCTTTCCATGTATACTTTGCAGTTTAATTTGCATGTTTTGGGGCAGGTCGATATCTTAAAAAAAAAAAAAAAAAAGTGAAGTAATTAGTGCTTAGGGAAAAATTTAAAACCTGCCTAAGACCAGAGAGCTAGTACATGGCTGAGTCTAAGCTCTTTGCACATCTACACATCTACATCTACATCTACACATCTACAGCACAGATGCCTCAATATTGATAGCTTTTATCATGTACTTAGTGTGGGGAGTGTAATATAAAGGCAGAGAATATAGATCTTAGAATGTTACAGGCTGTCAAAAAGTTGGTAATCTGCCAAGTAATTTTCCTAAAACGCATAAGAAAAAAACTTGAACAGTTGGTCTCAGTTGAAATTGAAGCAAGATTTAAGGCTTCATAATTAACTCTTAAAGTAGAAACTTAGATGAAAGAAAAAAGTGTTT